ATTTTGGTTTAATTTTATAATGGAAGGTTGATGACATAGCTGTATATTATATATTTATATACTGTATATATATATATATATAGATTCATCTATAAAAAAAATCTTTCATGATGGTTTATCAGTAACACCTTAAAAAACTAGTAGTGGAGATTTTACATCTCTTACAATAAATGCATTATTTATGACTGTCTTTAGTTGCCATTTAAATATCTTTCTGCAGTGATAAGATTAACATCTTAAGAAAAAAATAATAACCTGTCAAGGGTGAACAACAATAAAGCCCCTTATGAAATTGTAAGTTGCCTCATGCCTGGAGTCATGCAACAGTCATCCAGAATGTTATACATCTGATAATGAGAACAATGATTATAGTCACTCCTACAGCCTCCTAAACCCATAGGTGCAGCCCTCCAAGTCTTTTAATCACCTGAAAACTGTGTTTACTGTGGCATCGTGCTTCTAAAGTTTTCAGACAATTACAGCTTCAGATATTTCTGTTGTTGATGGGGCTGAGGGATTAAGCCAATGTGAGCTACCACAGAGGAGAAGAGAAGAAACAACACTTGTGCACTAATGCATCAATATGGCTGTACACTCACTAACACCTAGGAAGTCAATGAACACATGCAAAATACTCTTTGATGCTTCACTCTTCATTACCCTGCACAAATGCCTGTACTGCCCAATGTAAAACATTCACAGCTGCAACATAGTCTTTCTCACATAGACTTCTTTATGAAACATATTAAAGCTGATAAAATTGCAGATACATCATTATCCCAAAAGGAATAGGTGGAGACACACATGCCAGATGCCATTTGTGCAATGCCATAAAACAAAAGATGTAGTGGATAACTTTCACTGCCTTCACTGTTCTGAAGAATCTGGCACACACTGTAAGAATTACCCTGCAAAGCAACACACTTTTGTAAGCTTGTTGCGCAATGAAGTTTTAGCTGCTACTATCAAGCAAGCAGAAGCCAAGGAGCTCACTATGGAATGCTAACAGCTGTCAAATCCGGATTTAAAAGCTTATTCTACAAATACTATAACAAATGCAGAATGGCTCTGACAATAATTGAGGTGAAAACTTTCTAAGCCTGAGCAAAGCTAGTTTAATATTGGCAGCATTTAAATTGACTGATGTAAGATTACGTAAGGACACGATAAAAAAGTGGAGTATTATATATACAAACTTCTCAACAGATGTGGGGGCAAAAACATGTTCACACATTGTCAACAGTGACACACACAACGTTACAATGACAAGGATGAGGGAACATACAGCAGCGTGGGTCAGTCAAAAATAATGAAAACAAACACTGACGTAAGGCAAGTTCCACATTCCATCACAATGGAATTTAACCTGGTTTATGGTGAAAATACTAACTATGAAGATGACTTCAAAGCACCATAGAAAGTGCAACTCAACCATACATTCAGTGGGTTGATACTATCTTCCACTGATCCACATTTAACAAAACATTATATGTACACAACTCCCAGAACAACCATTTGCCACTGTGCCTGAGATGTGATCCTCTGCAGATGTACAAAGTTACATTTCATTAATAACTTTAAAGTTCTCAGGTTTCATATATATTACCAATCTATACAGCAGCCTTAAATACATGTATGATAATCTGAAAGATAACAAGTAAATGTCCATTTAACACTTAATGCTATTTTGGCAAATCATACAAATAGCTGTGGTAGACAAGAAGGGGAAAAAAAAAAGCATATTTACCGATTATTAAGAACATTCCCACATACTTGAACACAGGTTTTCTTCTACTCACAAGCACAACCCATCTACCTCCCCATATACAGCATGCCCTTACAACTAGCGGATTTTTAATTCATGGCCTTCGATTATATATTCGCGGATGACACCCTGGATGTACCCAAGAATATTTGCAGGTACAGTTTTAAAGTTGGCAGTATTTTCACAGCCAGGATGGGGAAGCCGTGAATTTTATGGAGTCCTGCAAGGTGTCTCTCTTGTTCCAGGTGGCTGGGCCATGTGTGCTCACTCTGCCTTAGTGACAGTCTGGGTTAAGTATTTGTCCATTTCGCACGTGTTACTCTGCTCTCTTAACAACTGTGCTGGCTCCCAAACTCCCTCAGCCACCTTCATCCAGCTGCAGAAAGGTGCCCAAACAAGTGAAGAAAGATATGGTAATGTATTTCTCCCATACGTACACATGGCTGCGCTTGGCAATAGGGAGTGAGTGACTGCTAGTTAACGCTTCATTTGCAAATGTAACTCTCCTCACTCCCTGCCATATTTCACTAAATTTACTGTTATTATTAGTGTTACTGGTAGAATAGTGTTAGCTCATCACTGTAACCACCAGGCTACTGGGCCAAGCTGTGAGGAGTTATGTTTTTTTTCAACTCCTATTTTAGGGTAGATATTTATTTTTACTCAGTTACGTGTACACACCATCCTGAATACCTAGTGAAAAAGGCAAAAGAAAATATTGTCCTAAGGACAAACACATAACTCGCGGAGTGCGCAGAGTGTAGCTGGTGGGGAGCGTTGCTAGGGAATCGGCGTCCCAGCTGATCTTCGTTACTATGGTGGAACAGGTAATGTATGTATGTAAATGATGATTGTGTTAAACTTTCATTTGGATTTTATTTACTGGTTTGACAATAGTATTTTTTTTTGTAACCTATTTATTGGTATTATTTTTATTTATTCCTCACATTTCCTGGTACTGTATACTATACAGTAGTACAGGTATTTTAAGAAAACTATGGCTGTGAAGTGTTATGGTTGTTTTTCAACTTGTATTTTTAGGTAGATATACCCGTCTTCATTTATTTTTACTCAATTGCATGCACACACCATCCTACATACATACTATATTGTGAAAAAAGTATAGTTCAGTATTACCGTACACCACAATTACCGACATCCTTCATGTTGGGTTGGCGAGATGGCTACGAAAGAAATTTCGTAAATTTGATCTACGTATCAACCCAGCTGGCTCTCAGATGCCATTCGTTCTACACAGTAATTTTTACGAGGAAAAAATTGTCGTATGGCAACCCAACCAACTCAACTTTATAATAAAGCATAGAGCTGACTTGAGGGTAGACTCTTGCATTTTTTCTACATTTCGATACATTTTGTTGTCCTGTTACCAATTATTTACGAGAGGATTTACCCAAATTATTTATTTGTACGTGTGTGTGTGTGTGTGTGTGTGTGTGTGTGTGTGTGTGTGTGTGTGTGTGTGGCTATACACACACACATATATAGTAAAGGTAAAAGAAATAATTGTCCTTGGGGCAAACACTTTTTTTTTTTTTAATAGGATTAGCCCACCTGGGCATGGGTCATTGACCCACATGAGGGCCTGGGGGTAAAAATATAATAATAATAATAATAATAATAATAATAATAATAATAATAATAATAATAATAATAATAATAATAAAACATTAATGAAAAAAATATATACAATATATAGAAAAAATAAATAAAAATATTAAACAAAAACATAATATAATAATAATATATGTATGTTGTGTTGTCAAAGTAAGAGAAACAATTGAAACCCTGCAATTGTGTGTAAATGAGGCAGAAAGTCAGATCAGCAACCTGGGACTTTCTCACAATTTTTGTAATGTAATATGACAGCATGGAATATACATTTCTTTGCACACGAGTAAAAATGTAACCCCATCTCCCTTGTCAGCAAATGATATTCGCTGTTTTGGCAATTCGCTGCCATTTTGAGACCCAAACCCCTGCGAATTTTAAGGGCATGCTGTATTCTTAAGTCCTTATTCTCTAATTCAGACAATATCTCAATACAGTATTTTCAACTGTTTACAAACTTTCATAAACCTGTAATGTGTGAAATAATAACCTGACTGAACTAAAATTTAATATAAACTCACTCAAAGACCACCTAATTTTTTATGTCACGTACTGTAATACTATGCTCAGGCATGTCTGTGGAATCACTAAACACTCAATAATATTTGGAACACCAGTTACATCTATCCACTGAGATGCCTGGATCACGAGTCACACCTCTAAAGTCCACTGAAATGTCTGAATCATCTACCACACTTATAACAGTCAGATTAATGTCTGAATCACCAGGTGTCCACCTACAACACCCATTGATATTGCAATCAGTCATACCTATACTATACACTGACACATTTCTTGTCACTAATCATACCTATAACATTCTTTGACATAAATGGATCACCAGTCATGCCTGTAATATCCTCTGACATGTCTTATTACTCAATCAATCACACCTATAATAATAACTTTTGACGTGTTTGGGTTACAGTACCAGCCATATCTATGACATTCAGTGACATGTCTGGATCACCAGTCATACCAGTAATATTTACTGACAAGTCTGGATCACCAGTTACATCTAAAGTATACTACTTGTTGACATATCAAAATCACCAGTCATACTTGTAATACCTAATGACATGTCTGGACCACCACTTGTAAACATTTATATCCCAGAAAATGGGTGAGGAACATACTACAATTCAGTGTTTGCATATGATTTACAATTTCAGCACAACTGCCTTTTCTCCAATAAATCACTTACAATATATTAATTCATCAATATAAATGGTGGACTTAAAAGAGTGAGACCATATATGGCCAGTAATATCATCACTGGATTACACCCCCAGGCACAGTCATCTCTTGCTATTTATACACTTAGGGTTCACTTAAGAGACATCTGTAATGTCCATAGGACAAATTATCACTGACAATGACACACACAAACTACAAAAGTACAAAGGCTGGAAGAAAGCATGACAAAAAAAAATGTGTCCCTTGAAATTATCAGATGGTGAAGGATGCAATAATAGTACTATTATCAGCAGTATTAGAGCAACTATCTGAACTGTACAACATGCTTCCATTGTACACACAAATTATGACAATGGTCAAACACATTTTACATATTCCAATAAATGCCCATACAGTATTTTGATACAAATAAATATATCAAGTTTATTGTCAACTGAGAAATACAACTAATGATCATTAATTGAGAATGTAAAAGCTTTTACAGATATTGAAAACTCTTTTGCTTTCCAAACGGGAAAATATTAAACTCATCTACAAAGATATTACTTGCTTAAGTCGTCTGATATGACATGGATAATGGAATTACACATGAAGCTTACATTTAATATGACAGATTCTGACCAGTATCTGGGTACCAAGAAACCTACTTAACATCACAATTTTAAAGAGAAAATAATATTTACAATATCAGACATCATAAAAAAAAAACAAAAAACATTTGTACTCACAAAAACAAACCTCATGTTAGTAATATCAGTATTGATAACCTAAAACATACAAGTCTTCATAAATCTACTCGGGTCCATTAAACTTAAGTACAAACTCAATATTCATGTACACTCTTAATAAAAATAAAAGATGACTGCTCCAAAAAATTTTATATATATAAATAAAAAGACTTAACATTACAAACAAACAAAAAAGTTCTTTGGGCCTTTAGCAGCTTCTTCCGAGACACGCTAACGAGAGACAGGGTAGTTGAGGGGTAGTGAGGGGGATGAGCAGAGCTGTGTGTGATGGGGCAGGGAGCTCATAGGAATCTGGGCAGCAAACACAAATAAATTTTTTCATTGATCATGGACAAATGAAATAAGACTTTTCATGCAATGATGGATTCAATGAAAATAAAATATTAAGAAAACTTATTAAGTATTTTAGAAACAAAATAACAGGATTGAGAGGAAGACATTGTACGCATAGTTAAAGTAATGGAAATAACTATGACTTTTAATAGTCAAATGTAAGAAGTAATTATGAAGAGGTATTTTACTGCTTTAGGCTATCTAGTATATAGATTAGACCAAGAAAGTTCCTATACTGTACTTAAGTGAGCATACTAAGTAAGCAGCCAACATGTGGCAAGACCAATAACAAAGGAGCCTTTCATAAAATACATCCATTTTTCTTAATGCACAGAAATTTACTTCATATGAACATCTGAGAAAGGGTTATATAATGCTAACATCATAGAACACATTATGGTAGTACACCTGAAGTGTACTACATATGCAAGCATCCTTTCCCTAATACATCGTCATCTCACTCTGTTACTAGCTGGAACTCAAAATGTATCTGTATATATTATGAATTTCTCAAATCCAGAATTAATTATGCTTTCGTGATTTTTATATTTATTTAACCTTCAAACTTTTCCAAGTACAGGTAATTACATTTGTAAATCTAGTCTAAAAATCTAGTTTTAGTTCCCCCCAATTTTTTTTCTTTTCATGAAGCATAAGCCCCCAAAAAATTCCCACGAAGAAAAAATAAAAAGGCTACATTAAGATTATTTCTTTAGGTAGCAACTTTACACTTAAGATTCGGTTAACTAGAAGAATGGTGATGAGATGAATTAGTATAGAGAAAGTGTTATAAAAGAATGTGTATGGTGCCAACACCAAGGAGAAATGAAGCAGAATTTAGCATCCTAGATTTTCAGAATATTTTTCAACTAATGAAGTTCATTTCACCATTCAGAGATATAACACTGTGCCAAACTGGATTAAACAAAAAGGGACAATGTTAACCTCTGGATGTGAATTGGAATAAGAATAATTGTAAACTGATCCTATGTTCTGTAAAAAATTAAGAGAACTGAAATATGATTTAAAAAATTTTGGTAGTAACAATACCCTGCTTTTTTTTTCTTAAAAAAAAAAAAAAAAAAAAAACACTGGTATAACTAGTGATGTACTGTGGTCTCACAATATCTGTGCTATCATTACAGTCCAGTGATGATATAAAGAGTATTTTAACTGTTTATTTTCAAGAGTAATTATAATCATAAGTCATATCCACACCCACACACAATATGAAACAAACAGTTGATATAAGTCTTATGGTTTTCTTTAAATATTATCGCTCTTATTGTGCACCTTTGTTGTTAGCAACAAGTTGGAAAACAAATTAACATATACAGTATAATTGCTATTAAACCTTAACTACTAATTTATTTCTTGTGACAACTGTCATGCAACCCATCAGTTCTACATGCAACTTTTTCATCAATTCTTTCATTAATAAAAGAATATGGGTGACACAACAGTCACATCTTTTTTTAGGAAGACCAGTCTCACCACTAGTGGGGCGCTACAAATGAGTGTATTATCAAAATGTATTATATCTCATTATATTCAATAATGAGTTAAAAATTTAATACTGTAGGTGGTACAATAAAAAAGGAAATACACTTTCCTTACCCTTAATAAAGTATTGCCTAACATCTACAAAGAAAGGGTGGGATCTACAACTTAAGATTCAGGCATGGAAAACTATAAATACTCTGTAATGATGCACTGCCATAAAATTTAATATTTCTGAATAAATATATATTCATAATAAATAATGCAAAAAATTATATATATTTATATAGTATATATATATATACTATTAATAAATAAATGAGGTTAAAGCAGACGTACAGTATCCTTCAATGCTCTTTTACAACACACACTGAATAACCACATTGCTAAAACGTTTTATTGCTTTTGTTACCCTTCAAAATGATTCCCATCTGTCTAAAATGGAAAGCGTGAACATAGGAACCAGTATGTTGACTCCAGCATAAGAAAAAACAAGAAATGACAGTGAAATCTTATAAAAAGTTTTCAGTGCAGTAGAAAAGCCATCACCAGATTCTCTAAATAATATGTGTAATTCAGCAAAGCACCTTTGTTCTTACTAGATTTTTTTGTTCTTCCTTTCTAATTGTATTTTTAATGTTCACCATCAATACCAGGTCTCTGCTCCCTTTTGTATAAAAAAAGAAAAAAAGGAAGAAATAATAATAATTTTAATATGGTCCCTATAAAATCTTCACTCTGTTAGAAAATAAAAAAGCTTGAAACTGACAGCACAGGATGTGAAGGCTTTAGCTTAAATTAATATAAATGCTGAATATGTGTCAGATTTAACTTTACTGGAAAAATCTCACATAACATAAGGTATGGTCCCACTGTTCTGAACCATGCCATACCATTTAAAAAATAGTTGATGACTGCACATAAGCACCACTTTATATTTACTAAAGGTATTAAATTATTTTTCTTTATGACATCTCCAGTTCAAATTATCTGAATATTCATTAATTTTCTTTATTTAAAATTTCAATTTTGCCTACCAGCAACTGATTACATTATAAAATTATCACAAGAAAAATTTTTGAGTCTAAACTCATATACAGTATGATTGAAAAAGGGCTCATGGCAAGTCAACCATGAAGATAGTATTTTTCTCACTGAGGGGGCCCACCCACCCTCCCACCAAGGAAAGGGTTATCACAGATTCCGAAAAAATATGAAATCTTCAATAAATGGAACACGTCAATATCAATATTCTTCACAAACTTCAAACATGTTCTTCAGTGTATGAATTGTTAAACAAAGTAAGCACAAATAAAATTTTCATATTTTCATATAAGGAGATACAAGTTTATGTGGTAATGACTGTAATATGCACTGTAAATAACTAAAATGGTGCTTGCAGTTAATTGATTCTCATAAAAATTCTCTGTTACTTGTGCGTCCCATTCTGGGTTGAACAAAAATAACTGATTGTAAAGAAACAGGGAACAACATCTTTACTGTACTTACCTGACCACCTAAAAATATTTTTTAACAACAATGTGCAATGGGATTCCTCATCCTTCTCCTCATTAATCTTAAATCTAAATTGGCAGTGTGAATAGCTTGAAGTTATTATGACTTTCAACTTTACCAAAAATATATTCCGAATGATATTAGAGATCGAGGGAGTTTGAAGAAAAAAAAATGCATACTGATTTTAGAAGCCACTGCAATATAAACAAAACACAGTAATGATCCACAACACTCTTCACAATATAAAAAAATATAAAAAATGACCAGAGTATAATTCTGGCTGCCAAGTGGCCAGTTGGTCCAAGATAACAAAAAAGAACTGAACAATAATATTTTTTATTCCCTATGTAAAACTTTCTTCCCATTACCTGTGTTTGTATTTACAGAAAATCTTAAGGGGTTATCACTGGATTTTTTGTTTTAATTCTTAGCTCTCATTTCTCCATTCTCTGCCTGATAAACAACTTTTCCATTCACACACTCAGTTGTAGCATGGCTGGTGTATCGCTATTGCTCAGAACAAAAGAATAACAAAGATGAAAGGTTGTCCAAAAGCTGGAGATAAAATAAATGTTTAAAATCCCACAACATTCTGCACTCCCTAATAAGGGAAGTTTCAGAGTCCCTTGTCCAAATAAAATCAATGTCTTTCAATTATAAATACCTGCACAGTATTATAAAACCTCAATTAGACCTGAACGGCAGTCAAAACTTGTCTGAGAACTTGTGTACTTTCCTTTTTCCTCAGATTTCAATCTTCAGGCATAAGTTCTAATCAGGTACAGTAATATTGCTGTATTCTCGCGGAGAATGCAAAAATTTTGCCCAGTGTGATAGCCCCTTTAGCATGGTTTACCATTATCTTTTTTCTGGGGGTGGGGGAAAACTTTCAACTGGACAGAGCAAGTTATATAATTTAAAATTCAAAATTTAGAAACCTATATTGTATTTGTAATAATTATTATGATTTGCAGAGGCAAAACATATATATCATAGAAATTTTACTACTGAACTGTACTTTGAAAGTTTTTTCAAAGACTAGCCCTGCACTGCTGTTTTATCTTGTCAAAAGTGTCAAAGAAAAGGAAATGCATGTTTGCAACTCTCGCTCCCTCTCTTATTGCCAAATATTTTTTTTTTTTTACAAACTCTCCTAAATTTCAAATTAGGGGTGGCAGCCCCCCCCTTGCCGCATTGTATCTTATGCATGTCATGTGATTTATGAAATGGATGCAAAATCTGGAGCCATATGCATCCCAGGGACATAAACACACAAACGTCACATATAATGTATGTAAAAATAATAAAAGAACAGTATTTTAAAATTAATAAACCCCCTTTAAATGCAACAAAGCTACTTCGCACTTTTTTCAATGAAGAAAAATTTTAGGATTCAGCAACATCAAAATTTTTGTTTAGGACCTGAAGCTTTCATGGAACACAAATACAGTACTGTACTGTATATGGGACCCAACTTTAAACACTTTTAGCATGTACTAAAAACTCTTTGAGTGTTCCAAGTAACATTTTTCATCATGGACCAAATCTAGTAATTCTCATAAGCTGATGTCTTCAATAAATAATAAATACAAACACAGTAGACAAATAAATAAAATAAAATTATTATAAATAAGATATAATGCAAAAATTAAAATGTAGAGTAAGAGATACACTACCTGTCGTGTTTGTTATGTAGAGAAAAAGAACCTTCGTGACATCATAAAAAAAAAGATTCATTTATAAAATCAATTCTATTTTAATTTCTACTATAAAACAAAGCTACTTCTTAATGCTTAACATTAAGGAAAATGTCACAGCTCTAACATATCTATGTTGAAAACTTGACTACTAAGGAGATACCAAGTAAAACTGGGATATGAGTTACCTCTTGTGCCATGAACAATACTACTGCCTAGATTCAGGGGTTAACAAAAATTTTTATTTGTAAAATAAATCCAAAATCAATTAACTCCTGCCAGAAGAAAAACTGAATGATATAAATCTAGTGTCAAGTGTCCTATTATGTCAAGCTGCCCAAGGAATTTTTGGCACAAATCGAGGCCTCAGTAAAAGTTATATAATAAGCACCATACTCCATTATTAGAAAAAATATGGAGTATAAAGAGAATGTGCACACATGCGCGCACACACACACACACACACACACACACACACACACACACACACACACACACACACACACACACACACACACACATAACTGTTAATGACAGTACATACACACTTGTCTTGAAATAAAAAAAAATATTAAATTGAAAAAATAAATCACATTTATGTTAAATACTAATTCACAAAAATGTGGTTACAAAAATTACTTTTAAAAATATTACCTCATTTTTATAAGAAGAGTGATTAGTTTCAATTCCTTCTACCTATAATGAGTATATTAATTACTTCCGTCTAACATAACTACTTGGTGACAAAAGATATTCTGACTCGTGTACAGCAAAATTGTTCCAAGTGATGCTGTTGTATACTAGAAGCACCGGTCCAAATCTAACCTAAACCTACTTCATTCAATGAGAAATCACTGAGAGTAACTTAAGTCTGGAAGGAAATATATGAATTGATGCCAATAGGGAAGTACTGTAGGTAGCACAACCTAGAATCAATAACGATACAGCATGACACTGTATGGCGGCAATACAACAACTGAAAGAAACAAACCACTGACAACGGGCGACAGCAGATTATGACCTGGTGGTGCGAAAAATTATGTTACAGATATTAAATCTTATGCAGAGAATGGAGCTGCCTTTATCAAATTATTTACTGTTATGGTAAAAAATCTGGTGATGGTGAACACTAAAATGTTCCATATTATGTTCAAAATTAAGATTGTGACAAAAATGAGGATTCAGGGATGATTTTAGATATGGAGTATCTAGTTTTAGTTATGGCTAGTGTGGGTCCTTTTGCCAAATGTTGAGAAACAATTACAAAGGAAAGTATAATAACCAGAAAAAGAATTGGCAACATGCAACAGCATTCAACAAAGTATGACTAGGCAAAGAAAAAGAAAAGGCAGGTTTAAAGAAATTAAGTTCTGAGCTGATTTCATGTTTACTGTACTAGTTTTCCTAAATTATGTAGCTGTGAATCCTACAAAACACAAAATAAATGATTGAGCTATTAGGAGTAGAAAGGCAAAGAAAATGAACTGCAATACTACTAAAGATAATCAAATCATTCAATATATTTGCAGTGCTTTGGTTCCATCTGTGAAACAAGAAGTTTACAGTTCCAAGAGGAGGCTGACAATAACCTGTCTCCTCTCAAGACAAGAAAATATAGCAAGGAAAAAAAAAAGCAGCTGGGCTAGCGGTGTGAGGGATGACAGGGTATGACGGATCATTTACAAAAAGGATAAACTGGGATTACAGAAGGGGACAGTAAAGAGTAGCGTGTTTCCAGGTCAGAAGCGGCCATGATTCCCGCGCTCACTAGACGTGCCAGACAGCCTGAAGGCGAATGGTCTTTCTCTGGCCAGCATTGGAGCGTTGCTGCGGGTGGGGTGGCGGCCCCCGACCCGACCCCCCTCAGGTAGTAAGTAGATGATTCAATTCGTGATGAAGAGCCAGGAGATCTTTGATTCGATCTCCTAACTGCATGTTAACACTCTCAACTACACCTCGCTGAGAGTCCTGTGTTGACATAGCTACTTCTAGTTGAGATTGAGCACGTGCAGTCTCCATACGCAACTGCTCATTTTCTTCAGATAGGCGCTGTAACAATGGATATACAATTAGTATTATTCAACACTTAGTGCACTTATTTTGTGAGTATAAAGCAAAGGATACAATCTTATCTTCATAGGAGTAAACTTGAAGAAGAAATCCTCCTCAACTGTAGTATCCAAGAATAAACCATGATAGTGACACAGCAAAAGACAAGTTAACTTTCTTGCATAATGTCCTCATTGCTCAAAGGTTCTGGCTGCTAACCATCCATAGACCCTTTACATCAAATACTGTTCCTAATCACAGAACAGTAGTGTATTTTTCTATCTGGCCTTGAAAATTCTTTAGTTTCTGGGCATTTATTCATGAATCCAAAAATTATCATATTATCAGCCACAAAGCTAGTCACAAACTATTAACGATACATTTGTAGTATCACTCTTACCTGTACCTTCTCCCGTTGATCATCAGCACGAGCACGCTGAAGCTGGTTTTCTAGTTCATCTATTGTAGCCTCCCTAGACCTAATCTCATCCTCCATGCCTTCCAACCTCGCTCGAAGAGATGCCACCTCCTTGACAAGTTCTTCAGATTCGCCCATACCTACTAGTAGAACATTAATTTCACAGAAAACAGGACTGTGAATTGAGTAGCCTCATTTATTACAAATGACCACGGCAAGAAAATATAGAAAATTCATTCACAGGACGATAAATTAATAACTTTACAAAAGAAAATGAAAATGATTAAAAAACAGAAATTTATCACAAGAAAATGATTACCTTCTGTCTCTTGTGAAAAGCTCAGTAAAAATTTCTTACGTGGTCATCTCCTGAAGGGAAATCTCCAATGGGGTGAAGCTTAAGAAACATGGATACAATGACCTAAATTGCAATATGCATTAAGACGTTTTTTTCATAACCAGTGAAAATTTACTAAACACTCATCTACAATTTAAAATATTCCTATACCAGCTCTACTTACCAAGTCACTTTTTAAAATGCAAATTAAAAATATTTTATCGCTTTATTTACTTACTTCGTCCTCCAGCATCTAGCTCATGAATACGAGTCTTCATGCGATTATTTTCTTCTTTGTACGTCTGTAATTGCTTCTTCCATTCCTCAACATTTGCTGTAGATTCTTGTAGTGCTGACGTTAGGCGGGCATTTGTTGTTTTTAATGAATTTAACTCAATCTCCCACTTTTTAGCATTGGCAGAGCTGTAGAAGCACCAAAGTAAAGCTAATATTAAATTATTCATTTTGTGTATTAGAAAATGTATAAACATACAAACATTTTCCCTTCATTCATTGTCATTCACTCACTTTTACTGATAATAGTGAGAGAGATATGTTCTGCTATGGTACTCTCTTTCCACAACAAGAGCCCAAATCTGGTTTAACTTTGTCATTTCAAACTAGCAAGCATCATTCATCAGCAGCTTGTCCTTCCCCTAACATCATTTGATACAATTAATTTCCATTCATTTACGCACACAACTGCTTCTAGTACATCGTTCACCACAAAAAATCTCTTTTTTGTCCCCCCTCATACCATCCACCTGTCTCTATTTTTTCCCCTTTCTCAATAGGTACATACCCTTGGGACAGACTTTGATTTCCTCTCTACCTGACATTCCCCTCAATTTCACATCTCCTTATTTCTTATTCCCTACATTCTATTTACTCTACACACTCCTATCAGATACATCATTTCTGTTGCTTCTAATTTGCTCCTTCCACTTGCATCCAGAGACTGCATATGTTGAATGACCAGTGAACCATCACACATCCCTACCTCACTCCTACTCCCATTTCAAAACACTCAGTTATTCCTCTGCTTAATCTGTTATATGCTTTACTTTATAAAAATAACACACAAATAACAGGTGAACACTTAAAAATAGCAAACCTTTGAGCTAGGGCAAGTTTAAGACGGTCATTCTCATATTTGAGCTGCATCTGAGTATCTACATTACTGCTGGCTCCCGTGGTTCCTACTTTGTCACCCCCACCTCCTCCGCCTCCTCCTCCTCCCCCTCCTTGCTTGTGCTTTGGGCTTTCTCCTGCTGGCTGGAGTCCTGTATGCATCATTTTGAACATTAGAATGTCATCACTTGTTAAATCATCTATGTAACACAGAATACTCACAGGAAAAAATTACAAATTCTCACAGCCTAACCCTTCGTATAAATATTGGTACAGTGCTGTATTTTATATATATATATACTATATATATATCTACTATATATATATATATATATATATATATATATATATATATATATATATATATATATATATATATATATATATATATATATATATATATATATATATATATATATATATATATATATATATATATATAAAATAATATATATATAGAAGAATCACAATACAGACTAAGACACACATGTGAAAATGAAATAACAGCAGATAACGATAGAGGGTACCACAAGTATGTATTTAAAAGATTGGTCTGGTGTATATGGCTGCTGTAGACATCTAGTACTGTACTGTATTTGCTGGATAACAGTTTGCAAATTTCACAGTACACAAAATAGTGGGATTTTGTTATAATTGGTAAATTTCAAGATAGTACATAAGGTTTGAGGATTTTTTTTTTTTTTTTAGATTTTTCTTCATTTTTACCAACTGATCAAGGAAGAGAGGCAACTATCACACCTGCATGAGACACAGGATGGAGCATAAATTCAAAGACAAACAGAATACTGTACTGTACAGTACTCTAGATCTAGATACTGCATTTAAACCACTGGATCATCCAGTAGCTTTACCCAGCACCGACCCTCACCTAACAGAGTGGTTCCTGAGCAAAAGTACAATTCTGGAAAACTGACAAAGAAAAGTTGTTCCCAACACAATCACATCAATTTGTTAGAATATAAGTGTTACTCATTGAAAAGAAAAAAAAATATTATTGTTTTCCTGGCAATGTAAAGTTTAAATGTTACAGATAACTCAAAAAGGTGATACTCTACCAAAATATTGATAATGGTGTCAAAGGTGTATCCTGCCAATACAGTGTAAGCCTGTAACATGAGTGTACTATAGTGAACATAATCCTGTCACACATGACCAAGTCCAGGTGTGAACAAAAGAACAAAGCAAATTATGGATACAATCTATGACTATTCAAATGACAACTAACCCCCTCTGTTAGATCCTAATGAAATGCTATTATTTCTCCCCTATAACCTTGACACCTTTTTGACTCTTTATATCCTTTGTGTATTGCAGTACTGTACTTGTTAACCTGCCTGATCTACACTGCCCTTCCCAGTACAGTACGATGTTCATAACTTTTTGGCGAGGATCCTAGTCTTCCTTTTAACAGATTACTTACTGCTACATTTAATGACTCATTCACCTTAGTTCCTTGCACATTCACAAATAGCACCAGCTTACTTTTTTTTTTTTTAATTAGAAAGTGACAATTTTACTTTGATATTTGAAGTAATCACACAAAACAGCGTATACTCGAGAACTGTCTCATCAACACATAAAAGGTGTTTTCATATAGTGTACACACCTTGAGCTTATGGTCAGTTGGACAAATCTCACACTCTTGCTGCCTAACAAAGTTGGTTGCATCGTACTAAATTTCACCCATGTGTTGGAAATTAGATGTGAACTTTTTTTTTATTTAATAAAGCTGCAGCATCAAAACGTGTGTGTGATTGTGAACTGTTGAATCCTCTGAGATCTCTAAATAACTTTAATAAGTGTAATTATGTACTGTATATTGATCGTATTATTCAAACTGTGTCCTGGTGTACCAGCAGTTGTTATATGTGAATTGTATTCAATAAGTTTTGGCCGAATTATACTCATCGCGACAACGACAAGGGTCTTATTGTCCTGCACAAAACAAAATTGCTCCTATGAGCGATTACATTCACTGCAGACAACTTCTCTAGTCCATGAGGAAAGTCAATGAATAATCTGTCAACTTTCCATCCATAACAGGTTCACTATTTTTTTCTTGCATGTGCATTGCTATGGAGTACTGGTACAGGGTATTTACTGAAACACTTGAATATTCATAGTGCTCTAAGTTCAGTGAAGTGTTCATTAGTGGTACATTGCCTATCTTTAGACTGCTGTGGAATGAAAAGTCATCGCTGGGCAGTAGAGTCTGATAGGAAGCATCTAAGATTCTTCCTTTTTTTTTTTACTGTTGCTAAAATATATAATTTCACATGTTATATAAACAATAGTGAAACTCTTGCACAAGATTGAAGTACATTATACAGAAGCCTTTTGAGAAAGTTGAAGGTCAATATAAGAATGAGTTACTGTACTATAAACATTTGTGGCTAGGAAGGCTGTCTGGTCACTTATAGTTATGACAGTAAATTTTCACACACAAAGTTAATGGCACTCAATAATATACTAAATTGTTCTTTTGATATAAAGCAGATTTACATTTGAAGAATTATTATGCATAGTGTAAACATTTTGAATATTTTTTTCCTTACAAACCTATTTTACAATTAGTGTATCCATTACTGGTAGATAAACATAACATATCATAGCTTTCTTCATCCAGGGGAAACAGATAAACTTTTGTACAAGATATACATACACAAAACTATTATACAAATGCTGCAGGATCCACACAACAACGAGTTACTTATTAATCATTTGTGGCTGGGTGGACTGTGCACAATGTGGGGGGTCGTGACCGTGCCCAAGGCAAATGACTGAGGGGATTGGAAACTTATCAGGCTCTTCGTGACACAATATACATTATTGGCCAGCAAGAAGATTAATGTTCTGTTTCTGTGTAATTGCTAAGGTAATTTTCATAACATTAACTTCCCATTTTTTTTCCTTATTACATGCAAACAGAAGCTGTTTTACTTATAAAATAAGATTTACAAACCTGATAGTGATAAAATACAATTCAAAATATAAGCTGGTGCACTGATGAGTGTTTCACAATTGCAAGGTGTGAATAATCCCTTTGAGAAGTTAACAGATAGTTTAAAACAATCCTGGAACTTTACATACAGAGTGAAAGATGACAACAAATATGTGAAACCAATAGACCAATTTGGGGGAGGTGTATAATGATGGAAACAACTTCGGTGGACTAGCAGAAGTTTATCAAGAGCAAGACTTATTAGTCCACAAGATTTTCTCACAAACTGCTTAGTGCACCTTTAGGGCGAATCCTTTACTTGACAATTTTTTTTTCCTGAAGAATATGTCAGGTGTAGGTAAGCTAATAAGACATCTCCCTTATTGTTAATAATAGAGAAATAAGACCTGTGATAATAATAGAGATATAAGACCTGTGATGTCATCTGGAAAGCTGTACAGTACTATGGGTAGTGTCAAAATTTCAGTAAGATGGTATGGGAAAAGGAAAAAAAGACAACTTGAACTCTTGTAGTGAAAACAACCAGAAACAACTATGCAATGTTTGCCTTATGGTAACACCAGTAAATGAAATACCCAAGTGTATTCTCAAGAAAATAAGAATTAACATATCTTTACACCTCTATCTATAGTGTGTATGCCTGGAATGGAAGAAAAAAATTATGCGTCACAGTTTTTACCTCACTTCAAAATGCTAAACAACAGTAAAAACTTAAATGAAAAATAATGGTAATCACAAATCTTTTAAATACAAGTACAGAAGTAAAGGAAATCAGGAGTACATTCCCAAATCCTACAGTATTACCAAATATTATACAGAAGTTGCAAAATAAGAGTAAAAATTTGACTAAAAAGCAGTAAATCCAATAGACTAAAATACAGAGCAAATAAGTATGAGTTAAAGCAAACCAAGGATAGAACATGAAAAAATAGATGGAGTCACTCTACAGAGAAGAAAAAGCATACTGAAGTCCTTTAACGATACTTAATGTTACAATTTTTAAGATATATCACACGACACACATGTTTATCCTGGTGATGGCAGATATGTACTTGATGAGCATGTACCTTTGTTATAAGAGAGGAGTACTGTACTAGTGCTGAGTGATAAACGTTTTATATGAATTTGTTACATCAATAATACTGTACTTTACATCACTGCTTGTTTCTGAAAGCTTGTATAGTCATCATGTACAAAGCAGAAAAAGATTTAATGTCCACCATCCCTGTGCTTTCATTGTCATTCATCCAACAGTTATTCCCTCTATAAATCAGAGCAGTCTTAAGATATACCCTTCAATATTCATCTGAACTTTTACAATAATCTATCTCTGTGCCCTCCTGTACTTTTTTCACGCCTATTCTTTTGATCAATTAATTCAATCAAATGGTCTCACCTCAATACTGTACCATATCCATCTATAACAATACTGTACATGTTGGACCCCGCTAATCCGGAACCCGATAGTCTGGCAGCTTCGATGGTTCGGGACGGTGTTTGAATCTGGCTGTCGTTAGTTTCCAGGTATCAGTAGGCCTATAATATAAATTTTCTCTTTGCCTTTTCTGCTAATCTACTCATTTCTGTGTCACAGTAAAGTAAACTTGTTGTGAAGAGGTCCAGTAGGCCTGGGCAAGATTTATGCTGATGTAAGTTGTATTGATACCAGTAATAGCATATTTTATGCATTATTTTGCCTTAATTTAACCTCAGTTTCGATGGTTCGTAATTTTCGCGAATCCGGAACCGGTCTGGTCCCAAGCTTCCCAGATCAGCGAGGTCCAACCTATACCTCTAATAAATATATATATACAGGTATATATATATATATGTATATATATATGTATATGTATATGTATATGTATATATATATATATATATATATATATATATATATATATATATATATATATATATATATATATATATATATATATATATATATATATATATATATATATATATATATATATATATATATATATATATATATATATATATATATATATATATATATATATATACACTATATGTAAGAGAGCACACACTCATTACTACATAAAGGTACTGTACTGTCATCCCATTCCTTACCTCTAATAGCTCAAATTTCTACTCCTTCATATTGAGACAATACACAGGCAGTCCTCACTATATGCACTCCCACTATACAGGTATGGAACCATTTGTCTGGCATGCTTGAGAACTGATAAAATATGTATAGGAACACTGATACTGATACAACTACAGTATACTGTATAACAAAGACTCATGTACAGCCATTATGTCAACACACATTATCATACAAACATACACTATTGGTTTTATATGTCCCTCTTACAGACACAGATGAGATAATCTCACAGAGCCAAACTGTTGTGTTGGCCAGAGCACTACTGAGTACAGTATACATCAACATCACACTTACCAGTTTCATAATCAACACACTGTTAGTTACATTGTAAGACACATGCCTGTGCCTTTTCAATAACATTCTTTCCCAAATTATTACCTCTGTATAAAATCGATCTTTTGCCCCCAAGAATTCAATTACAAATGAAAATGAAACAGTATTAGCTACACACATGGTTAAAAAAATTAACAAACAAATTGAGTTCGTTTTAAAAATCCTGGCAGAAGCATAAAGACTACAGTACTGTACAGTGTAATGGTGCATATAGAAAGAGGAATATGAACTATGATACTGTATTAATTTATGACACTCATGCTCTACATGTCCATCAGTGCTATAATTCTACACATAAGGAAATTACTACAGGTCTTGGGTTATTTATTTATGATAACAATCAATATCACAGTACTTACTGGCCAAAAATATGCTTGTTAGTAATTTTTAACAATTTTTTTTTATAAAAACCTCATTAGTCCTCATGTTTAATTACATCTAGAGATGTCATAAACAAACAAACCCAAGAACCGAGTAAGAAGATAGACAAGCAAGAGGGTAAGTCATGTGGACCCCGTCGTCAGTTTCTGCACATATCAACTAAGACTAACAATACTGCCACATTGTACGTACTCCAATAAACATTTTGTATCGTTTATAGGGTTCTTTTTCACTGGTCTTTCTGTGAGGAAAATATTTTAGGAGAGATAGGTTATGCCAATTCATCAGTTAGTATGATACAAAATTCAGCGAGGTAATTCGTTTATACTGTACCTCAATAAAAGTTTGTCTTCTCGTGAAATACTTTAAGATTGTTTCCAATAAACAATGAAAACGCAAATATACATACAGCAATATGCTGTATGAGAGAATATGCTTTCCATCGAAATTGCTTAGACAATAGTCTGTAAAGATTCAAATTTAAAAGGCAATCAGCAGTTGGTGTATCCTAAATAATTCTGAAATAAATGGCTACAATAGTATTCCACACCCACATTACTTGTTAATAATGTGTTTTGAGAGTAAATGCTTCATCATTCATTTTGTTAGTTTGGTGTTAAATAAGCAATATAATATATAATGGATCATGCAACCTAATGAGCTAAAAAAATAATAATAATAATAATAATATGTAATTGTTTAATGGTGCTGTAAATATATTCATCATATCGAGATTTCTGTAAGATTTAAAGACTTTTCGAAGGCGAAATCCTAGTGTCAAACTCAACCTTAGGCCAAATTTGTTTACCTGAGAGGCTTTGTGAGCGTTGATGAGCAACTAGGGATGATTTGAGCAGCGTGGCATTAATGTCATTAGAGTTGGCCAGAGCTAGGTGATCCAGACCTGTAAGAGGAGCCCCAATAAACGCACAGCAACCTGCATCACCTGCGCCAACCCAACTCTCACTCAAGCTTCAATACCAATGCAAGAGCTTCCATTTTCAGCGATTAAACAGGTTTAACTGGCTACACCTGCTATACACTATGACTGGATACATAAGCTAATTACTTAAATGCCATGCACATAGAATATCAACACATTAATATCACATAAGCAACTTTGCTTTACCTCTTACTTGGTAAGTGTTTGCCTCCAAGACTAAGGAAGGTTTCCTGAGGTGGATTACAAAGGAGTTACACCTCAAGAAGGCAGAGACTACGAAATGACTACTCGATCATTTTTATATTCAATATGAAAATTAGTAATCATACTAATTTTTTCAGTGTAAAAAATTACCAGAATGTTCTGCATTTCAACTCATAATACATATATAAAGCCGCCAACACATCGCATATTCCATTTTCTTAGTTACATCGTTAAGATTTTCATATCGAAATGGGTGGGCTCTTCACAACTGCCTTGAAACATATTATTTACTTCTAACCACAAAATCACTTGGTAAAAAGTTAAAAGGCAAATACCTTGTATGATATAAAAACTCTCAGGTACTTAGCTAATTCAATTCTTCAGGTATTAAGCTTACATCTGTCATCGATTAAGTTCATTGTCACTAATTTCACTGTCTTTTTTAATATTGAGGCTTAGCATCACTGAGCCACTGTACACTACAGAGAAATTTCTCAACTTTAAAGGTTAACATCTTAATATCTAGTAATGATGAATTAATACTCATAACTAACACAAGACTTCTTGGACATAACCCAACTGACAAACGTAACTAAAAAAAAATTGGAATGTCGAGAATGGTAAGGGTAAGAAGAAATTTATTAGCTCTATGGGGGCCAAAGCTTCTTGGATAACGAGTAACTGGATTAGACACAGGTTAGTCGGGCCATCTAATAAACAGTCACTTTTCAGCATTGTTGATGGTGCTCCAGCACCCAAGGCTGGTCATTAGTCTTGCCTCACAATGGGGCTTTGTCAACAAAAGAATTAATCTAGACACTGGTCTGACACAAAAAGGAATAAAACAATATACAGTATATCCCAAATGAGACACACAAATACACACCCATAAGTGAATAGCAAGGCATTATTTTTGAAGGAAGACAGTAGCGTGCAAGTTTAAGAGTCCCTTGTCAAAAATGGTTATTTTTTAATGACCAATTCATAAAAATATATTGATAATTTTATTTTATGAGAAAACCAAAAAATTCAGTGCTCAACAAATAGTTCAGTACCTTAAAGGGATAGGTATTACAATCCATTTAACATAACAATCAAGTCAAATAAATGAAATCCATACACTAGGAGAACTTCCTTCAAAAGGTGTATTATGAAAGAAAAGAGGGATACAATGAGGGAATAAAACAAGCCTAATAGACTTCTGGAACGTCGGGCTGATTGTCTCCTCAAAGTTGCATCGATGTCATCCTCTAGTGCCAGGACTAGACTGTCCAGGTCTGCAGAAAAAATAGGCATAACTGCTTTGATTTTAAGAATTTCAGTCATTTCACTCAGAGGAAGAAGACTAAATACACAAAAAGATGCATGAAGACTGGAAAATAGTGGAGTCCAGAGTAAATACTATAAAAGGATTACTGTCAAAGTTTCAGCAAATTACTTATCACATTAAGGATAACTATAACCTGAAATCTAGACAAGAAGAAGTGAAGACATCAAAAATATAAAATTTTAAAATATTATGTCTACATGCTGTCACATTACATCAAGTAAAATATTTTCTCTAAAGCTGTCTTAGTGAGAAGTAAGCTATTATGGTATGATAACTGGCAGTCACTTAATCATAGCTTAAACATAAAAGGACACAGAAGATCCACCCACAGCAATGAGTCAATCCAGGTCCTTTAGTTGTGAATACTTGGTGCTCTTCTACCACTGCATGGTAGATGTTGCCCTCCTTAATATATACCTTAATAAAATGATTTAATGAAAATTCAAGGGCCCAGTTAAATAAGTTACAACACTTGTATTAAAGTAGTGAAGTACTGACACTAATATTAAACAAAGTGAGGTACAGTACTAACATTAATACAGTGTTAAATTAAATGAAGTCCTCACAACATTAAATTGAGTTCTAATTAAAGTAATACCTCTTGTGTAATTGTGGCTGACCCACATAAGCACTGAAATTGCCCATAAAACATTGATACTGATGATGCATACTATTTTGGATACTGAAAAAAAAAAGATCTTTCTGCACTTCATGAAAAACTACTACAGTACTGTAATGCAAATGAAAATCTACTAAATTCCCTGTAACTTTTGTAGTCTGAGGCAGAAGCGAATCCAGGATTTTATGCGAAGGGGCTTGGATACTGACCAACTCCTTCAATAGTCAGAGGGGGGTTAATGTGAAATTAGACCAGGTAACAAGAGGCTGGGCTAATTAAATTATCACACCTGTAACACTTATTACACATGGCCACTATCATATTCTATGTGACAATAAACTAAAGAAGGCCCATAGGCATAGAAAGGAACAACAAAGGCACATTCCTATGTTTGATGTTTGAGAACAAATGGACTCCCTGCATATTAGGTATTAGACAATCATGAATATACATAAGTATATATTTCTACTTTCTTGTTTATTATTACTGTACTGTAACTCGCTTCTTCTTTTGAGAAGAGTGTTGGCAATAATACAGTATCTAGTTATAATATTTTGGATGTAATAAGTAACTCATGGGTGAAATTTTAGTCAATAAAGGAAGAGTAATTCAACAAAACACGAACACCAAGCTGGTTTAAAGAAAACGGATGGCTGGTGCACTTCCTGAAGAGCTTTTTTATATTGACAACTAAATTATAAGTGATACAATATAATGAGTTTGAGTGAAGAAGCATTAATAAAGCGTTACCATATTTACCGGTTTTCAATATCTCAATAACAGTTACCCATTAGTGATTATTATAGCCAATGAAATGTATGGAGTAAAAATAACAAGTTAGTGAAAGATAAATCCTAATTGAGCATTAATATATTTTATCTTTCAGTAGTGCCTATAAAGGCCTGTCAGGTTGCAAGTGGCCTTGTAAACACATACAGTACAGTACAGTACTTTATTGTCCTTCAAAGGGAAAATATCTAAAATAATATTTTGTATAACAAATTATTTGTGAGATGGTGTTAATTGTTACCAACTTCCATGTGCAAATAACGAAATTTGCTTCACTGTACGAGCAAATGGTCAGCCATCAATTTAGCACCCCCAAACCCTTCACTGGATTGATCAATGTCTCAAGAGAAAACCCAACCTCTCCTGGATCCACTTTCATAATGTGCAGCTGAAGTTAAATTACAGTACAGTACTAAGGAATCTTAAATCATTTTAAACTGACAACTTTTGACCAAAGTACATAAACAGATTAGTACGAGGAATAGTTGCCGAGATTGTTTTGTTTAAGTGGCCAAAATTATATGCTATATACATCAATCATGATAATATGGTGGTGATGATAGATAACAATCTCAATCTCTCTCTCAAGCCTTTTCCCACTGACTGCAGGATGACCAATAAATAATTAAGTATTGAAACATAATTTCTCTTCATTCAGTTATTTATTCATTCTTACTAATGTAAATGATAATATTCTGCTAAGGTTTTTCCTTCCACAATAACGCCCTAATTCTGGCTTGCCTTTTGAATACACATACACACAAATAAAACACTGTTGTGCCTTCTTAGATCTAACACATAAAATAACAATGAATCACCAAATGAAATTACAAAAAAAGACATAAAAAAGACATCTTCAATGACTCATCCAACATGGATGTTCACCAGACATAAAGCTCCTCAGGGACTGACTACTGTACATAGCACACATTGAGCTGGTGTGAGAGATGACCCACATTTAAAATGGCTTTTTCTTGGTACTGATAAGCACAAGCAGGAATAAAGCTTTGACAACAGATATGTATTGACAGTTACTTCAAATTACTGTATAAAACTTTCCTATCAAGAAATGCACTTATATATCAACGTCCAATATCACCCAAATTAAGCCTTTTGGTGCAAAATTTTTTAGTTACAGATTTGATCTGACTGGAAAATGCTGCCTTCTAGTCAACATTTATCCTATTCAAAAAGTGATTTTAAAATGCGGATGTTTGTAACGGATGGTGAAAATACACAATTTTACATCCTCCATCCACAGCAATACCCCAAGCTTATCACTTGAAAAGAAAAAAAGGATTCCTGTTACCTCCTTCAATGTCAAGATATAAGAAAAAAATTTAAATGTTAAGATTTTATAGGAAGATAATTTCAACAGAAGTATGATGCAAGTACAGTATATCTTGTTGCATAATGGGTATTTTTATGCACTTTAATCAGGTTCACACTACTGATAGTTTTTCTTGACAAACTGACTATTGTAAACTTCAGCATAGTCTAACATGAGATACAATAGTAATAAATTCATTGAATATTTCTGAATGGTGATTTAGCTGAGACATATAGAGCAATGACACACTTCTGTTTACAAATCTAGAACTGGAATTATTAAAAGGAAGAACAGAGAATCTGTATTGCTTAAAACTGTTTAACTGGTAATGTTTATTTTGAATAGACAAAACTATCAATAGGAAAGTTGATAGATTATTTAAAAAATGCCTTCAAGACTTTCCCACTAATACAACTTCTAACAGAGTCTGTCTTATGCAGGGGATTATCTGTGATGTGTGGCAGAGGCTTTTCTATCACATCAGTGTAACTTTGAACATAAACAGCTACCTGCCCAGTCAACCAGGGTTTATGAAGCAAGCTCCAATCCTATTTCATAGATTGCCGATTGTTTTAAAAGTCAGTGAGTGAACAAGGGCACCTTGATAAATCTTGGAGCTGATCACTTGACTCAAACCCCCCAGTCATTAATTTAAGTTGCACCCTTCGTACCTTCCACTTATGCTAAAT